AAATACGTGGTAAGAAGCTCATTTCGGAGTCAAACATGACAAAGCTTGCAAACAGTCTGGTTTATTCTCAAAGTTGCCAGGAAGAGAATTAGGTTGGCAGCATGCAGAAGGGCCCATTACGCAACAGCTTTTACCACATATTTAATTTTTGCTCAGCCACCACTGGATGAGGAACACTGGCAGAGGTGGAGGTCATCAGGATGCATGTGAAAACTAACACGGTGTAACATGTAGATGAGACCATGGTTGGGGGGCGGACACTGTATTGGTGGTCAGAGTTAATGATGCCAGAGAAGCCATCAGTTACGTCTTAACCGTACCACCACCCCCCAGATAGTCAAGAATGGTGCTTCCGGGGTCGGAGGTGTGGGCGGTTGTTGGGTCATGGGGGGGGACGGTACGTTCAGACGGGTCAAGGAGGACAAAAAAGTAAAGTTTGTCTTTGTTACAGTCAAAAGTTGTCATTTTTAACTGACAAGTGTCTTTTGCAGTGGGAGGAACAGAATACTAAGTGAAGGTATTTGAAAATGGAGCTCTGGAAAAGCTGAAAACTTGCCTTGTTGAATATTTCCAGCAGTTTCTTCTGTCATTATCCCTCAACTTTCCCCAGGAAAGGCCAAATCACATGGTGGAAGTGATTTAAAGATAATACACTAATAGCATTGCCAAAGCACAGCCTCCAGCTCAGTGACACTGCCAAACAATATTTTCTTTTTAAACTGAGAACAAGGAGAACTGTTGCCTGTGATGAAGGACATCACCAAAGCTTTCACAATGAGCTCAAACTAACCACTACCAGCTTATCTAACAAGATTTAAAGTTGTTTAAAAAAAAGTGCATTTGTAGAAAAGGAGACAGGAAGATAGATCCACTTAACTACCCAATTGTCCAATGGCTTTTAAACCGTTAGAACATACAACATAGAAGTGTACAGCACAGGAACAGGCCCTCAGCCCACCATGGGCACAATTCTAAACTAATCCAATCTGCCTGCATGTGGACCATATCCCTCATTTCTCTGCCTGTTCATTCTTAGGCTGTAGAGAACACTGACAAGTGCTCAGTGGTTAGCACTACTGCCTCACAGCACCAGGGACCCGGTCTCAATTCCACCCTTGGGTGACTATGTGTGGAGTTTGCACATTCTCCCTGTGTCTGCATGGGTTTCCTCTGGGTGCTCCGGTTTCCTCCCACAGTCCAAAGATGTACAGGTTGGGTGGATTGGCCATGCTAAATTGCCCATAGCTTTCAGAGATGTGTAGATTAGGGAAATGGGTCTGGGTAGGATGTTCTGAGGGTCAGTGTGGAATTGTTGGGCTGAAGGGCTTGTTTCCACACTGCAGGAATTCTATGATCTATGATCCCAGGAGCAGTGATCAGCCGTCTCGGAATTGCCAGAATCAGAGTCATTGTGCTGATCCTCCTCCCACAATTCAATGATTTTAAACTCAGGAACCAATACAGAATAACCTGACATGTCAAAGTCAGGATAACGAGAGACTCTGACAAAATGAAATTGCCATGAATTTGCAGTGCTTTTCTTGGTTAAAGTTTGTTGACCAGTTCCTGTCCTGTAAATTCAAGACAATACAAACTGCAACCACGCGGTGCCAGCACTGAAGAACATTCAGCCTCAAGTCTCAAGGACCAATCAAGCAGACTACTGTCCCTAAACACAGCTTCCAGACAAGTCGCAAGTACTCCAACACACTCCTGATCAGAGTATCGTACACAGTGGATTGAGAAACTGCATCATTTGCATCTGCTATTACCCTGTATTGTTGCAAAGATTGAACTGGTTTAGTTTCTGGCTACCAGTGATCCCTGGAAAATATTACGAGGTTCCTAAGATTACATAAACCAATGGACAATTTTAACCACATTTGGACATATATCAAACAGAAACCTGTGTTCTCTCTTTTCAGATACTGGCTGACCCAACAATTACTATCATTTCAGATTTAGTTTTACATGAGTCAACAACCCAACATATGGCACACAGGAAATAAAATTCAGAATCAACCTCAGAGGCTGAAGTATTGCCCACAGCTGATACTTCAATGCACCTTTGACCAGTAGTTACTGTCAAAGTGTAGGAACAGGTCCATACTTCTAATAGAACGCAATGTCATAACATCCTCCTATTTATTCCACATCTTTCATGATCTCAGGGCACAATTGCAAGTGTGACAAGTTTACAAGAGCAGCTTCTATAGTAAAAGTAAAAACAAAAGAAATTTAGGTTTTATTAAACAACACAATTTGATTCATTGGTCTAGTGGTATGATTCGCATTTCGTGATCATTTGTACAATGATGTGAGAAAGGTTTCAAGTTCAGCTCTAGATGAATCCTCAATTGTTGCACAAACTGTCAGTTGCGATTTCGGACAAGTTGAGCGAGTGGGCAAATGTATAACAAATGCAGCATAACAAGGATAAATGGGAAGTTATCCACTTTTGTAGCAAAAACAGGAAGGCAGATATTCTGAATGGCAATAGATTTGAAAGGGGGAGGTGCAATACACCTCATACACCAATTGTTGGAAGTTAGCATGCAGGTGCAGCAGAACAGAATCCCTACAGTGTGGAAACAGGCCATTTGGCCCAACAAGTCCACACCAACTTTCTGAAGGGCATCGCACCCAGACTTACCACCCTAACCTTGCATTTACCAAGGCTAACCCACTCAGCCTGCACATCTCTGGACACTACGTGCAATTTAGCATGGCCAATCCACCTAACCTGCACATCTTTAGACTGCGGGTGGAAACCAGAGCACCCAGAGGAAACCCACGCAGACACGGGGAGAACGTGCAAACTCCACATAGACAGTTGTCCGAGGCTGGAATTGAACCTGGGTCCCTGGCACCGAGAGGCAGCAGTGCCAACCATTGAGCCACCGTGCTGCCCTTTTGGCGGTTGAAGTTGGTAAAAGGCACGTTGGCCTTCAAAGTGAGATGATTCAAGTACAGAAGTTAGCATGTCTTGCTGCAATTGTACAGGGCCTTGGTGAGACCAGGCCTGGAATATTACGTGCAGTTCTGGCCATGACGAGAGTTCAGCAAAGGCCTACCAGACTGATTCCTGGTACGGCAGGACTGACGTACGAACAGAGACTGGATCTGTTAGCAGTACATTCACTGGAGACTAGAAGAATGGGGGGTGGGTGGAATCTCAAAGGAACCGATAAAATTTAACGGAACAAGGCAGGGTAAACACAGGATGCTTCCAATAACTGGGGAATCCAGAACCAAGCATCGCACTCTAAGTATAGGAGTAAGGCTATTTAAAACTGAGATGAGGAGAAATTTTTTGACCCACACAGAGTGGTGAGCCTGCATTTTCAATGAACAGTCAAATACATTTCTTAGGGCTAAGAAGATCAAAAGGTATGGGGAAAAAGCAGGAACAAGGTAGAATCGGATGATCTGCCATTGATCATATTGAACATGGCGGTGCCAGTATTGGGACTCCGGTGGACAAAGTCGGAAGTCACACTACACCAGGTTACAGTCAACAGGTTTATTTGAAATGTCAAGCTTTGGAGTTCCTTTGTCAGGTGATGTCAAGTACAGACAGCAGAGATTGAGTGAATCCCTAGAAGAGTATAAGGGCAGTAGGAGTATACTTCAGGAGGAAATCAGGATGGCAACAAGGAGACATGAAATAGCTTTGGCAAATAGGGTTAAGGAGAATCCAAAGAGATTCTACAAATACATTAAGGACAAAAGGGAAACTAGGAAGAGATCAGGGTCCCTTAAAAATCCTTCCAGGGAAAAGGAGTTTCAGTTACATAGCTGGTTTGGAGAAAGGAGCCCTATTCCTCTTGAAAAGTGTAGATTTAGAAGAGATTTGAAAGAAGTTTTAAGATCATAAATGACCTATTGAGACAAGGACAGGGATAACCTGTTCCCATTTGTGGAAGGACTGAACATCAGAGAACATCAACTTGTAATGATGGGCAAAAGAACAGTGACATTAAAAAAAACATTTTTAAGCAGCAAGTGGTTACGATGTTTAATGACCTGTGTGTGTTATGGAGCCAGTGTCAATACAGATCTTCAAAAGGCTTAAAGCAGAAGAAACGTACACAAGGAAACAAGGTGCAGAGCTGGATGAACACAGCAGGCCAAGCAGCATCATAGGAGCAGAAAGGCTGACATTTCGGGCCTAGACCCTTCAGCCTTTCTGCTCCTATGATGCTACTTGGCCTGCTGTGTTCATCCCGCTCTGCATCTTGTTGTCTCGGATTCTCCAGCTCCTACTATCCCCGTACACAAGGAAACGTCAGGTTATTGGGACAATCTGAGTTACTCTTCTAGACAACTGAAGCAGAGGATGGACTGAATGATTACAGCAAAGAAATAAATCAACAGATAAAATCAGTCCCTACTGTCAATTAAGGTACGCTCATTTACTTTACAAAAGTCATCCATACTTTTCAACACTAATAATCTGCCCTGACCATCCCTATTCTATTGCAGATAGGATTCCTTTCATATGTCTGCACATGACAGTATCAGAAAGCAGTAGCCAGACAGGTTGTGTCAGACTGAAAGAAAAAACAGACAGGTGAACAAAGAGGGCGGGAGACAGGGGGCCGGGGCGGGCGGGGATCAGGGAGAGTGTGTGGGAGGGGAGTTGGGGACAGTCACTGGGAGCCCGCAGCAGCCTCTGACACCACCCCCTCCACCCCCACCATTCCCCAGCTGGAGGCCAGCCTCCCGGTCGCTATAGAGACGGCGCAGCACAGTGAGCCTAGGCCGCAGGAAGTAAGGAACCAGAAGCTACACCACCACCCCCAGGGACTGGCTTCCTCTGCTGGGCTGGGCGGAATTCAGGCTGCAGTCCCTGTAACACCCCCTCCCTCCCGCTCCGTTCTCTGCCCCTTACCCGTATCCCTGGAAAGCCTGAGGCCTGGGCAACCCTTATAACAAAGAAGCCTGGGCCTCTCCCTCCCGCCTGGCCTCAGGGCCCGCGAGGCCAGCACCGCACTCACCAGGTCGCGAGTGTTTTCCATCAGGGCCCACTCTCCTACCGCCTCCTCCGGCTCCCCGCCGCCCGCTACCGCTCCCCGTCCCGCTGCCTCCGGTTTTTCTTCAAAACTCCGCTGCGGAATATCAACAAAATTAGCATATCGGCCGGCTGAGTGCGCCTGCGCGCCTCTGGCCCCACGCCCCCGCTCGGTCACGTGGTGCCTGGGCCTTTAACTGGGAGAGGTCGTGCGCATGTGCACACAGGAGCTGCTGTGTCAATTTCAGCGAGAGGTTTCCAACCCTCATCTGCGCGCTCTCTTTCCATTGCAAATCTCCGAGGTGCACACTGAGAATGTAAACATATCACCACCAGCTTATCAAACTCTATGCGCTCCCATCAGTGGGAGCAGCAGGTGAAGTCCCAGAAACAAGCTCAGTCATAAACACCACTTCACCTCTTTCTGAACGTGGTCAGTGATTAACTTTGATCCAGACACTAACTCGCCCTGGGAGACAGTAGGAACTGCTGATGCTGGAGTCAGAGATAACACAATGTGGAGCTGGAGGAACACAGCAGGCCAAGTGAAGAAGGGTCCAACATCAGCTTTCCTGCTCCTCTGATGCTGCCTGGCCTGCTGTGTTCCTCCAGCTCCACACTGTGTTATCACTAACCCGCCCTGTGATCTTTTTATGCGCTCTTATCGAGAAGACGTGGCCCTAGTTTAACATCTTAGTCAAATGATGGCATCCCTTAATACAGCGCTGCCTCAGTACTGCACTGAAATATCAGCTTCGTTTTGTTACTGGTCTCTCCAGAGGGCACTTTCACGCAACAACCATACCACTCGGAAGTTATTGTTTCAGAAGTAAGAGTTTATTAGGCTATCAACCCTGACGCTACTGCCCCTACTGCCCCTACTATTACCCGTAGCCTTGACTGTCATAGTCAACACCACAAGCTACACTTAGTTGTAGAGTAGCTTGCTTTGATGCCTTAAGAGCACATTGTAAATGTGGAACATTTCAATCAACTGACAGTAATCACAGACATCATTAACACCTTAGTGATACAAGTATTAAATAATCTCCAGTACCTTTGCATTAGAGACCGAGTGTACGCTCTTCAAGTGCGGTTAGAGACAGAAATGAATTAGGTTGTATTCGTAAAATTCAGATCCGATTCTCACACCATACATTCTGTCCTAATTTTTATGTCTTCGTATTCCTCTCCAGTTTCCCTTTAACTGCATCAAATCTACGCACCTCAATCACCCCATGTGGTAGTATATTCCACACTCTCGCCACTATCTGCGTAAAGACTTTGATCCTGAGTTCCGTATTGAATGTGTTCAGAACGATCTGATGTATTCGTGGACCCTAGTTGGGAACCACAAGTGGAAACGTATCAATTTATTCCGACTCTATCATATTATACTTTTAACGTCTTGATCTAGTGCCAAACATGCAAGTTTGATATAACAAAGAGCAATGGATGCTGGAAATCTGAAACAAAAACCGAGGAAGGGTCACTGGATTCGAAACGTTAACTTTGCTTTCTCTCCACACATGCTGCCAGGCCTGCTGAGTTTCTCCAGCAATTTTTGCTTCTTGATGCAACAATATGAGTTTTCTGTGATATGGACTTTAAAGTGCTGGATATACAGCACCATGGTTGATAGTAATTACCATGTGACAAATATCTTTATGCAATTCTCATTATAATGTGCATACTTGGTATGTTTTCTCTGCCCAGTGGCATGACCTTGACACATTGGCTCAGAATTAAAAATCAGCAGTTTTTTTTGATGGTTTTTATCACTGGTGGTTTGTCATTGCCTTCTACTATCAGGGGCAGGTTGAGGAACCAGTTCCCAAATCTAACTTCCCCTCCTCGGTGGTC